AGAACCCTGCGTAAAAAAGAGGGGGGGTGGTCCCCACTAACCCCCCCCAGGGAGGTGGGGAGGCGGGTTTTGGGGGGGCTGAGCACCCTCCATGGCTTGCGCGGCGCCTTCCTGGCACCACCACCTGCTCTGCTCGGTGAGCAGGAGGTGAGATGAAGTGTGGCCAGGTCTCAGCCCAGTGTGGGGGCCGGTGGGGTGGGAGCGGGACCGGGAGGGTGTCGGACCTCGGACACACCAGGGGACGAGAACAAGGGGGACAAAGCGGGTCCGCTCCCAGTAACGCCCCTTTTCCACCCGGTTGCCAGCTGGGCGTCCCTGGGGAAATGGGGTTGGGGCTAAATTGCCCCAAAAAGGGGATTTTTTTTCCATCAGCTGCAAGTGATGATTTTCTGTAGCAGAGCTGGTAACTCCAGGTTGCGGGAAACGCTTAAATTTAGGTTAAAAAAACCCATATTGGGTCTGTGGGGCCGTTCCAGGAAAACCCCCGCCGTTAGGGCACGGGAATTAATGAATGCCCATTAACGCTTGGATAATTAACGCTCATTAATGCCGGGGTCTAACTGGCTGGGTCCGGGTGGCCCGGCCCACCCGTGTCCCCGGTGCCACCCACAGCTGGTGCTGCAGCTCAGGCTGCGCTCACCGAGTGTCACTGCTGTCCCAGAGACCGGCCGCGCGCGCACGCCCACGCGAGTTGCACCCCACCCCCCCCCAAGACGCGCGTGTGCACGCAGCACGCGTGCAGCCTGCACGCACGCGTGCGTGCGGGCACACACATGCAGGCGCGCGAACAGGCGTGCAGCCGCGCACAGGCGCGCGCGCGCGTGTGTCAGCAGGTGCTTGCACGCGTGCGCGCGCTCACACGCTCGCACACGCACGCACTCACGTGTGCGTCACGCAGGGGCGGGCGTGCATGCAGCTGCACACACACGCAGGTGCATGCACCCACACGCAGGTGCATGCACCCCCACACGCAGGTGCATGCACGCACGTGCGTATTCACGCAGGGGCAGGCACGCACGCACATTTGCACACGCACACAGGCGTGCACACCCGTGCACACCCCCACGCGCATTCCGGCGGGGCGCACAAGCCTGCGCTTACCCGCATCCCTGCGTATCCACGCGCGCACACGCGTGCACACGCGCGCAGGCGGCTCCACACATTCACGTGCGCGCCCACCGCACGCGTGCCCCTGCATTTGCACGCGCGCGCACGCGTGCAGACACGCTCCTGCCCCAGCTCCCAAGCATCCGGGGGCTCCCCGGGCGGGCGGGATGGGTTGCCATGGGGACGGGATGCGG